GCGGGCTCGGACGCTGGCCTAGGTTGCTGCATGGAGACCCGCTCCCTGCTGCCACCCCGCCCCGCGCCCTTTTTTTATTCCGCGCCCCCCGCCCCAGGTAAGGAGCCTGTGCCACTGGCCTTCTGCGCTGAGCCTTCTAGCTCGTTCCCTGCCAGCCCTCTCCAGGCTCCGGCTCGCCTTTCCTGCAAAGTCAGGCAGGCGGGGGAAACGGGCTCCTTGCCCTCCGATCGATTGCGTTCAAAACTTTCCAGCAGGAGGCACCGCGAGAGGGGAGAAGGCCTTGTTGGGCTGCTGTCGGGCTGCTGTCGTTTGTCAGTTCTTTCTTCTCTACGTCCTGAGAGTATGAGTCGTGGCGTCCTGCGGTTTTTGCACATTCAAACTTCGGGCCTAAACGTGCCTCCAACTCTCGCAGGATTTACTCCAGCAAGAAAATAAATATTCCAAGTCATCCCTTCGCTCTAGCCAGGCATTTGGTGTTGTAGGAGAAGGAGCAGGGCTTGGGAGTCAAGGGAGTGGGGGTGTTGTGCAGAATCCATTCCTTATTCAATGTCTGCACCGAGTGTTATGTAATTTTAGCAGCACATGGGTGCAAAGCCCACACTGGGCTTCTCCTTTCTTTGTTTATATAACTTTTAGGAGAGTTTTGTTAGGTTGTCTCCGTTTCTCCCATCGTTCTTCCTTTGACAGAGGTCGGTGCTTTGAAAAAACAAAGCGACCCAGGTTAGTAATATTTTGGAGAAATGTCATCATTGTCGCCTTGCTGGTCAATATATGGTCATGTACTTCTTTGTGTGTGTAGCGTTGGAGCATAAGGAAGACATTAAGGACACACATTTGTTTATTGCATTGAGTGGCTATTTTTAACCTCTCTGCCTTACCAATGGTAGAGTTAAATTTCAAACTTTCATCCCACAGGATATTTTTGAATTTACACCTGGTTGTATGCTTTGCTTGCATGAAGAGAATGCGCCTATTAACAGTGCGGTTTCTTAGCAATTGGGAAGCAGAAAATTCTTGTTGGACCAAGGTCCGTCCACACCACTGAGAACTATACTAAAATAAAAACCATGCCCTATGCTCTGTGTGTGTGTGTGTGTATGTGTGTGTGTGTGTGTACTTAAATGTGAACATTCAGATGTTTTCAGTAATATTTTCCACTAGGCTTTTGTGGGGACCCATTCACTGAAGCCTGTTGGCCACATTAGTCTTGGTAAGATTCCAAGCCACTTCTAGCTCCTTGGTGTAGAGATTAGGTAAGAGGTGTGGCAGATTTGAATCCTAGTTGGTCCATTGTTATGCAAATCGAGGCACGCTTTCT